CCACCAAGACAGATGCGCACAGGCCTACAGAGAACAGGTACGGCTGTGGGGATAACAGAGGGCTCCACCAGGAAGAGGAGTTAAACCAAATGAAAACCCTTGGTGGGTGTCCATATCTAACCATACTGCGAAGGTTTCATTTGGAGAGTCCGAAGATAAATTAATTACAAAGGTCACTAACTCTAGGAAAAACAAAGTTAAATGAAACAAAAAAGAAACAATGATAAAATACTGCATGGCTTAGATATGACTCTTGCTATCATAATCAGTACTGAGGTATCCTAAGATTGGCAAAAGCTACATGGGAGACTATGCGGAGAAAAATAGCAGCTAGGGAGGGTGAGAGGTGGGAGTTAAAAATGAAACCGTCACCACTCAAAGTAAAAAGCCAACCGATAATGACTAAACTGATTAACTCAGGCAACAGCCATAAAAGCACGGAATTTAAAAAGAGGGTAGACAACAAAACCACAAGAGCTTTTAAGAAACTGCATCTGGGTAATAAAATGGGCATGTGACAATGGGGTGGGAACTTGCTATTTTCCTTATTACATCTAGAGGACTAATACTTACTAAACTACAGACCTATTGTGCTATATAACATATTAAGCTTCAAAAATTGTTTTTCATCCATTGGACCACCTATTCTAATCCATTTCTTCTTATCTCATAATGGGATTATGGATCACGGATCTTTGGAACAAAAGCATTTAATGTCACAGCAAAAGAGGATTTAGATTTATGTACAAATTTAGTAGAAGACTAATTTTGGATTTGAAAAGCTAGTTCTCTGCTCAAATACTTTCATATGAAAGTTAAATTACACTATGAATAAAACTGTAACTCATGTCCTCCTGACCTCACAATTCTGCTTGAGCCCCTTGCCAATGAAATGAAAACTAGATAATAAGGCACTAGATAAAATCTAGATAATATCTAGATAAAATATCTAGAGTGAAAAACTAGATAATAAATTCTAAAATCTCAAAAATAACCACCGATTAGGATTATTTTTCAGCTGCAGTGTTACATTGTGTTAAATCACCTTGTGTACAAGTGAACTAAAGCAGCTGTTGGCAAACCTATGACCCGGGTGGCCCATATCCATCCTGCCTTTTTTTTTTTAATAATACCACCAACTATGAATATTTTTAACCACTAAAAAAGGTAAAAAGCAAAATTTAAAAAACAGTGTATTTCTCAACACATGAAAAAAAAAATACCATGGAAACTCAATTCTCTGTCCACAGCCTTGTCCACTAATGTCTATATACACAGCTGTTTTCTAGGATGGCAGAACTGGATGGCCCACAAAGCCTAAAATATTTCCTGTCTGATCCCTTTCATATCGTTGACCCTTGAACTTAAAGATTCTAATTCTGAGTTTTATTTTTATTTTATTTCAAATGAAACTGAGCCAAATGCATAGATGAAAATATACATGTAAGAAGTTCTGGAATCAGAGGTGTCTGAATAAGGAAACTTAGGGATACAACCCTTGAAAGAGAAAAGCCCAGAGAGTTTGCTTAGAGCCAATCAGGAAATGGGACTAGAATCAAGAGTAGAGTCTTGGCCATCCTCTTACACATGCATCTGTCACCAAAGTTTTAACCCTAAGAAAAAGAAATGCAAAAAGCCAAATGGCTTGTCTGAAGAGGCCTTACAAACAGCTGAGAAAAGAAAAGAAGCGAAGGAAAGGGAAAAAGGAAAGATGTATCCATTTGAATGCAGAGTTCCAAAGAAGAGCAAGGAAAGATAAGAAAGCCTTCCTCAGTGATCAGTGCAAAGAAAGAGAGGAAAACAACAGAATGGGAAAGACTAGAGATCTCTTTAAGAATATTAGAGATACCAAAGGAACATTCCATGCAAAGATGGGCACAATAAAGGACAGAAACTGTATGGACCTAACAGAAGCAGAAGATTTTAAGAAGAGGTGGCAAGAATACACAGAAGAACTATACAAAAAAGATCTTCATGACCCAGAAAATCATGAAGGTATGCTCACTCACCTAAAGCCAGACATCCTTGAATGCAAAGTCAAGAGGGCCTCAGGAAGCATCACTACAAACAAAGCTAGTGGAGGTGATGGAATTCCAGTTGAGCTATTTCAAATCCTAAAAGAACATGTTGTGAAGGTGCTGAACTCAATATGCCAGCAAATTTGGAAAACTCAGCAGTGGCCACAGGACTGGAAAAAGTCAGTTTTCATTCCAATCCCAAAGAAAGGCAATGCCAAAGAATGCTCAAACTACCTCACAATTGTACTCATCTCACACGGTAGCAAAGTAATGCTCAAAATTCTCCAAGCCAGGCTTCAACAGTACGTGAACGATGAACTTTCAGATGTTCAAGCTGGTTTTAGAAAAGGCAGAGGAACCAGAGATCAAATTGCCAACATCTGTTGGATCATCGAAAAAGCAAGAGAGTTCCAGAAAAACATCTATTTCTGCTTTACTGACTATGACAAAGCTTTTGACTGTGTGGATCACAACAAACTGGAAAAATTCTTAAAGAGATGGGAATACCAGACCACCTGACCTGCCTCCTGAGAAATCTGTATGCAGGTCAAGAAGCAACAGTAGAACTGGACATGGAACAACAGACTAGTTCCAAATCAAGAAAGGAGTACGTCAAGGCTATATATTGTCACTCTGCTATTTTAACTTATATGCAGAGTACATTATGCGAAATGCCAGGCTGGATGAAGCACAAGTTGGAATCAAGATTTCTGGGAGAAATATCAATAACCTCAGATATGCAGATGACACCACCTTTATGGCAGAAAGTGAAGAAGAACTAAAGAGCCTCTTGATGAAAGTGAAAGATGACAGTGAAAAAGTTGGCTTAAAGCTCAACATTCAGAAAACTAAGATCATGGCATCTGATCCCATCACTTCATGGCAAACAGATGGGGAAACAATGCAAACAGTGACAGACTTTATTTTCTTGGGCTCCAAAATCACTGCAGATGATGACTGCAGCCATGAAATTAAGACACATAGCTTTGGAATAAAAGCTATGACTAACCTAGAACAGCATATTAAAAAGCAGAGACATTAGTTTGCCAACAAAGGTCCATTTAGTCAAGCTATGGTTTTTCCAGTAGTCATGTACAGATGTGAGAGTTGGACTGTAAAGAAAGCTGAGTGCCAAAGAATTGGTGCTTTTGAACTGTGGTATTGGAGAAGACTCCTGAGAGTCACTTGGACTGCAAGGAGATCCAAGCAGTCAGTACTAAAGGAAATCAGTCCTGAATATTCATTGCAAGGACTGATGCTGAAGCTGAAACTCCAATACTTTGGCCACCTGATGCAAAGAACTGACTCATTTGAAAAGACCCTGATGCTGGGAAACACTGAAGGTGGGAGGAGAGGGGATGACAGAGGATGAGATGGTTGGATGGCATCACCGACTCGATGGACATGAGTTTGAGTAAGCTCCAAGAGTTGGTGATGGACAGGGAAGCCTGGCATGCTGCAGTTCATGGGGTCACAAAGAGTTCGACATGACTGAGCGACTGAACTGAAATCCTTTGTTCCTACTCCACTCTTCAAACTTTCTATTACTACATCACTTATTTTGTTTTAGTTAAAATGCTAGTAAAACTTGCTGATTTCTAATTTGGCCTTCCCCATAGGTGACTCAGTGGTAAAGAATCCACCTGCCAATGCAGGAGACTCGGGTTCAATCCCTTTGTTTGAAAAGATCCCCTGGAGGAGGAAATGGCAACCCACTCCAGTATTCTTGCCTGGAGAACCCCATGGACAGGGGAGCCCTAGCGGGCTACATTTCATGGGGTCACAAAGAGTTGGACATGACTGAGCATGAAATATTTAAAACAGATGTCTGTCCCCATTTTCTGTTAACTATGCCAGTAAAGCAGTATGGAATACTACTTAAGACCAGTCTTCAGTGTCAGGGAGACCCAGGCCCTGGCCCTGCCTCCAAGGACCCCTGCGTCCTCATCAATACCATAAACTTCTCTAACCACCCTTTTCTCACCCACAAGAGTGAGTGGAATCACCGCCTCAGACAAGCACAGCTAGAACACAATGAAAGACGTCAAGAACTGAATGTTCTGACTGTCCGAATTAAAAGCTCGAGAAATGCTGTCTTATCATGTCCACATTTTATAAGCATTTGTTGCCCTTCAAGAGTTTCACAGGCCATGTTCTCAACCCTCAGTGTGCCTAGGAATTGCACTCGTGACCTTGTCAATGTGGATTCTCTTGGCCCTACTCCCAACAACTCTGACTCTTCCATCTGGAGGGTTAAGATTAACGCTTCACGCCGTTTTTAAGCTCCAGTGTGATGTGGACATGAGTGATCCATGAAATAAAGTGTTCCTCGATAATGAAACAGATACCAAGAGCACAGGAGACAAGCAAAGGCTCAATAATCACAGCCTTAAGTAGTAGCCTCCTTTATCAAAATAGGCAAGAGCTCAGTATGGCTCAGTCCTTTTGCTTTTTCTTTCCCTGCTACAACTATCCTGATTTTTTTTTTTAATATATGTTGGGCTCTATAATTAACGTTACATAGAATATGAAGACTATCGCGTAGTTTATAAAGGTTAGGACTTCTAGTTACACATCCAAGTAAACATTTAGGGAACTCAAAAGGTCTGTACCCAGATCCCAGTGGAATCCCAGTTTGCTATCTTGGAATTCAGCCACACAGTCTTATAACCATCTGAAGAGAATATAAGACTGACCCATTTTATTTAGTGGTATGTTTGTAAACAAAGAAAAAAATAGAAAAATCATATGTATTCCCACAACACTAACTAAAAGGAGCTGAAAATACGACTGAAAACAAACACAGAACTAAATATATTCTACACTGAGAAACCCTCTTGGGTAAACATGTGAAGTGAATTGCATGCAACGCCCGCCCCTCAGGGTAAGGTGTTTCAGTTAAGTGTCTGCTCCAAAACCAGCAACAAGACCCAGTGGATGGTGGCAGGGGTTTAAGGGGGTGGGTAGCCGGGTCGCGGTTACCTTGCTCCAGTCTAAAGCAGAGGGAACGCCTTGCCGCTTCCATCTCCGGAGTCAGGTTATCTAGGACATGTCTACACCACTGCAAAGGGCTCAGGGATTTCTCTGATGACAGGAATGTCTTTGAAGAGCCAACGTACAACCTTAAAAAAAGAAATCTACATTATAGGGATTATATAGCTATATAGAGATTACCTCTCTTCTACTTGAGAAAACAACATGTATTTAACAGTTTCTATAACTTAACATTTAATTATTGCAAAATACCAAAGTTATTTTTAACCGACAAGCATCCCCGAGTAGAAGATGACAAGCTTAGTGGCAAGGAGGACTTCAAAAAACTATGGAACATTGTCTCGGCGGGTCAGAGATCTGAGGCTTTTGTTACTGAACTGACCTCAAAGGGGCCACCATGATGATTTGACCAGCTCACTTGTATTTCTGGAAATGAACTTTTTCATCTCATCTCTTTGATGACAGCATTTTCTGTGACCTTGGGCTAATGCATATAAACATGATGTGGCAAACAAGGCAAATATGATTTGCATTTTAAAAAAATAAGTCTAAAAACAAATGAAAGTCAGCTATGTGTTGATTCTCTCAACCCTTAAATATATCAGGTTATGTCCCCTGTCTCAGATCTATACTAAATTTGGTAGGTCCTTACTTCTCAATTAAAACTTGACCACTAAAAAAAAAAAAAAACTTGACCACTTTCAAAAATCTGTTTTGTGAAGAGCTCACTCCAGCACCCACACTATTATACAGAAGTGGGCAGGATAACCACCCCAGAGGCACTACAAATCATAACATGGATTTTTCTCTCCTGGATGTACTGTTCAAAGGTACATTTTAGAATATTTTCCAGTGATAGGGCAATACAAAAAGCTTTATCTTCAGGCTTAACCAGCAGGTGACTAAAAAAGGAAGAAAGAACATTACAATCATAGGCTCCAGTAATTGACCTTGCTATATAAAGCTGTATTCTAATTACAAATCTCATTAAAGTAAAACTCATTCAAGCAAAGTTACCATAATTCTAATGCGGAGGTATTCCCGAAATAACATACTCCGTTATTCATTCTTTTACCTTACAGTCTGGTCCACCACCTAGTAGAGTAATTTATCCCAGATGGTTGGGGAAATGTACTATTTAGCAAATTACCCTTACAGTTCATGGGTGGCAAGCTTTTTTCTATAAAGGACCAGCTAGTAAATATATACGCTTTGGGGCCACAGTCTCTGTCATAACTACCTAATTCTGTCTCTGCAGCCAAAAAATATCAGATGATAAATAACAAGTATGGCTGTGTTCTTATAAACTTTATTTATAGATACAGAATGCTGAATTCCCCATAATCTTCACATGTCACAAAATAGTATTCTTTTAATTTTTTCCAATCATTTAAAAATGTAAAAATCTAAGCTGATCAGCTAGATTTTAAACCAAGCAGTAGGTCCAATATGCCCATGGTTTGCTGACTCCTGTTAGAGAGGAAAGTTCTAAAATATCTCTTTTAATCAGTTTAATAGTACTCCTAATATATCATTATTCCCTTAGAATGTGGCCCACAGTCCTGCCCTCATTGACAGTAATATTGGTTAATTCAAAATTCTTATTCCCGAGTCGCACCTCGGCCTGCTATGGCGAGATGATTACCAAGCTATGTGGATCCTTGCCTTTCACCCCTCCTTGCTGTCAGACCCTTGAACTATTATTGCAAAGCTCTTTAAACCCCTAGGTAAATGTTAGTCTAGGCCAATTGTTTTCAATCTTTGACGTATCAAAATCTGAGGATTTGTTAAAACACAAATTGCTAACACCTGATTATTGCAGGCAGCTCCAACCTACCAGATTCAGTAGGTTTGGAGTGAAAGCAAAGAATCTCAACATCTAACAAGTTCCCAAGCAATGCTGATACTGCCGTCTGGACTCTACCTTGAGAGGGATGTGCTGGGCTGAGCCAACTGTGCCAATTCCATTAATCCCATCTGCCCAATGATCAGTTTAGGCACACACCCTGGACACACTGTGCAATAAAAACTAAGGGGAAATACTTTGACGGGCATGTGAGCAAGGTTCTCCTCATGTTTAAAGGGGTCACAAAAGACCCAATTATGCTGCCTATAACATGTGCACTTTAAAAATAAACACACACGTTAAAAAAATAACACAAAGAGAAACAAAACCTACTCACAAAGAAAAGCCACAGCCCAGAAAGTCCCATTATCTAATTCTACCAGTATTTAAAGAACACCACTTCTTCACAAATTCTTTCCAAATAACAGAAGAGAGAGTCACATCTTAACAGTCTATGAGACCAGCATAGCTATGAAAACTGATACCCAGACCAGATACAGACATTACAAGGTAAGAAACTAAAGACCATCACCCCTTATGAACACAGAAGCAATAGGTCTAAATGTTTTAGCGAATTCAGTACAACCATATGTAAAAGGGATACATCATTACCAAGTGAGATTTATCCCAGGAATGAAAGGTTGGCTTAACATTCAAATATCAGTGTAACTTACCACATATACTAAAATAGAAAAACCATATGATAATCTCAAAATACAAAGAAAAACATATGACATCCATTCCTGATAAAAACTCAGTAAATTGGAAACAGGAGGAAACATCATCAGTCTTATTAAAGACATCTACAAAAAAAGCTTGGAGAAGGAAATGGCAACCCACTCCAGTATTCTTGCCTGGAAAATCCCATGGACAAAGGAGCCTGGCAGGCTACAGTCCATTGGGTTGCAAGAGACGGACACTACCACCACAAAAAAAGGCTCCTTAACGGTGAAAGACTGAACACTTTCCCCTTAATATCAAGAACAATACAAGGTCTGCATGTTCTGGCCACTACAATCAGGCAACAATTTGGCTTGGATAGAATCTAGTATATCTGTTTTATGACATGATCATCTATGTAAAACACTGAGGAATATACAAAGTGAAGTGAAAGTTGCTTAGTCATGTCCAACTCTTTACAATTCCATGGACCATACATTGCATGGAATTCTCCACGCCAGACTACTGAAGTAGGTAGCCTTTCCCTTCTCCAGGAGATCCTACCAACCCAGGGATTGAACCCAGGTCTCCTGCATTGCAGGCAGATTCTTTATCAGCTGAGCCACCAAGGAAACCCAAAGAATACTGGAGTGGGTAGCGATCCCTTCTCCAAGGGATCCTCCTGACCGAGGAGTTGAACTGGGGTCTCCTGCATTGCAAGTGGATTCTTTACCAACTGAGCTATCAGGGAAGCCTGGAATATACAAAAAAAAAATACTAGAATAAGTGAGCTTAGCAGCAAAATTGTAGGATACCAGATCAAAGTACAAAAGAAAAGAGCAACTCAAAAAAAAAAAATACTAACAATCAGTATTTTTGCAATTTCACTTCCCATTCACAATAGCATAGGAAAAACCATAAAATGCTTAAGGATAAATCTGACGAAAAGATGCCAAGACCTTTTCCTTGAAAACTACAATCATCCTGAGAGAAATTTTAAAAGATATATATATAGACAGGCCATGTCCATGGGTCAGAAAACTAAATATTGTGAAGATGTCACTTATCCCTAAATTGATCCATTTAACAAAAATCCAATCAAAATCTCAGCAGGCTTTTTGCAAAAGCTGATTCTAAAATTCATATAAAAGAGCAAAAAGATCCTAGAATAGCCAAAACAATGAATTCGGAGAGCTGCTGCTAACTAACTAAGACTTATTACAAGACTACAGTAATGAAGACAATTGAACAATAGGATGGCATGAAGATAAACAGATCAATGGAAAAAATAGATGGTCCATAAATAGAAATACAAATACATGGAAAACTGATTTTTGACAAACTACAAAGACAATTCAATGAACAAGAGGCAGTGTTTTAAACAAACTGTGCTGGAACAATTATATGCAAAAAGTGAGCCTTGATCCATACTTGACACAATATCCAAAGTTAACTCAAAACAGATCACAAAAATGTGAAACCTAAACTGTAAAACTTTTAGAAGAAGCCATAGACGAAAGTCCTGCTTCTTTGGGCTGGCAAATATTACTTAGATACATTTTTTAGACTGAAAGCATGATCTAGGAAAAAAAAAAAAACAAACTGGACTTCACCAAAACTAACAAGTCTCTCTGCAAGAGACTATGATGAGAATGAATCACAAACCATGGATCGGGAAAAAATACTTACAAATCACTTATCTGATAAAAAAGAACTTGTAAGGGGAATATATACGAAATTCTGCAAACTCAAGAAGCAACCCAGTTAAAAAAAAATTGACAAAAGATTTAAACAGACATTTCACCAAAGATCTATGGATGGCAAACAGATGTTGAAAAGATGCTCATCATTACTCATTAGGGAAAAATGAGAGCCCCAGTGAGACACAGCTATTAGAATGCCTAAGGAGAAGACTAGCCATAGCAAGCCTTGGTGACAATCTGGTGCAAACAAAACTCTGCTACACTGCCAGTGGAACTATAAAATGGCACACACTTTGGAAACAATTCTGGCAGCTTCTTTAAAAATTAACATATACCTACTCTCTGATTCAGCCACTCAAAAGTCATAAAGTATTTACCAGAAAGACACAAATGCTGTGTGTCCACACAAAGACTTCTTAATAGTCCCAAACTGAAAATCTAAATGTTCATGAAAAGATGAACGGATAAGACAAACCATTATTGTGTCCCTATTATCTAAAACCCTCACAATAAAAAGAAATGAACTAATGATTCATGCAACAACACATGAATTTCAAAATCATTAAAGTCTCCTACATCGGAACCTTCAATTCACAAACTTTCAAAGATGCAAACATGCATTCATATCTAACTAATCATGTTAAGTTATAATAGTTCACGTGACTGGCATATATTGTCAGTGAACGTGCATGCATCCTCTATAATTGGCTGTTCTTTTGAGTACTTTACTGTGTAGGACTGTATAGAGGACAGTATCTTTAAACCCAGGATATATGGAAGCAAGTGTAAAAGACACAGTGATGTAGTGTGTACTACTAAGAAGTGACAAGTAATAACAATGGAAACAAAAGTGACAATAACAGAGTGAAGCAAGGCAAAACAATGGTGGAGCTGTTGTACTGTACTATTTTACTCTTTA